ATAGTTATTTATAACAGGGTCATGTATTTTTGCTTTATGAGTTGACATATACTATTTTATAGTTAGGTAAGTTAAAATACAGTCATGTTTGCTTCAAACTTAAGCCATTGTGTTTCTGTTTTTTTTAAATGCCAGATAAGCATTGTTGTGTATCATAAGAAGCTTCTTTCAAAGCTTCTATTTTATATTGGCCAAATACTTCTTTAAATTTTACGAGCATTTGCTGATATCCATATGATGTTTTGCACTAGGGTGACTCTAAAATTATTTCTCCTGCATGGTTGGTTTTCATTTTAACCAATTTCTGCCCAGAAGTACCATCTTGAAACTCCTCTGGAAAATTGCACATATTAGTCATGCAGCCCTAGTATTTCTTTTACAGGTTGTAGAAGAGTATGGTATTAGGTAAAACAAAAAGAAAAAAAAAATGTTGTGAAATGTTGTTGTAAAACTGTTGGGGAACAGTGTTATAGATGCATGAGTATGCATTTCTTGAGATCCAGAGCACTTTACTGTTGTAAAAAAAAATTTGGACAGAGAGTCTATGACAATGGTTTTGAACTCTCATAAGTGTTTGTCTTGCTTTCCTGGGGTTATTCTGTTATACCCTAAATTGTGCTACTTTTGGCAAATTAGCTTAGCTTAATTTTTTTCAGTATTTTAATGGTCCTGTGAATTTCTGATGAAGTCTTCTCCTGGGTAGCTCTGTCTGAGCAGTCATATCTTCCTGGCCTGAGTGGTTTTAAATATGTTGGTTGTTCTTTAAGAATACTGATGTGTGACTGGGGGTGATGTATCTTGATGTATATGATGAGGTCATTTCCTGTCCACCCTGCTGCTGCCCTGCAGGAAGCTGAGCTGCTCTTGAGGCAGCTCCTGGGTGGCCGCAGCTGCTTACATCAAAGAACCAGCTTCAGCACTGGGTTGTGGTTTTTTTTGGTTTTTTTTGGTTTGGTTTTTTGTGGTTTTGTTTTTTTGTTGGTTTTTTTTTTTTTTTTTTTGGGTTTTTTTGTTTTTTTTTTTTTTCTTTCCTTGAATTGCCATAGTCTTAAAAACTTTTTTAGGAGATGATGGCTAGCCTCTCAGGGTGGTAGTCTCAGTAAGTAGTAACACACTCTCATTCTTGTCTCAAGACAAGAGTTTTCAGTGTAATCAAGCCTTCTCCAGCTAATCTGTAGTTTATTTTACTATATTAGTTTCTTCAGTATGCTGCACACACTTAACAACTTCACATTACAATTATTCTAAAATTGCTCAGTTGAATTCAAGATCCTCATAAAACTGAATGTATTATATGGGAAATAGAGGCACTTAAAAGACTAAAAGCATATTGTTTAGTCTTACATAATCTGAAAGGTTTTTTGAAGATGCAGCAACCCCAAATGGAAGTACTCTTGATGACATTCATAAATTACATCAGACATGATTGATGTTCTTACTCAAATTTTGTGTCTTAGATGTAGAATCTGCCATGTTATGTCAGTACCACATTTCCTGGCAATTCCTCTCTACAAGTTTTTACTTGACCGTATGAAAATTTACCATTGTATTAAATTTAGCTTTTACTTCATTCTCAATGCTAATTAGAATTAACTATTTAGTTAATATATTTTTAGCAACATGCTGGATGAACACTGATACTCACTTTAGATACTTTTTAAAAAAACATTTTTCTGTCATTTTAAGAGGAAGCTTAGGGGTAGCTGAGTTAGTTTAATTATATGAAATGAGGTAGCTTTTATCCTGTTTTATTTTATTAGGGTGAACATATTCATCAACTATTTTATACAGTCTTCAGAAGATTGCAAAAAACTTGAATATGGAACATTTACTGAGATTGAGTTTGTATCCATTTCTTTAATTTTTAAAATTTATCTTATTGTAAGTGATACAGACCGTTCATACACATTGATAGATGTTCTCAAACTTAACCTCAAATTTTATTTCTCTGTATGGGTATATTAAGAAGAAGAAAAAAAAAAAGCTAGCCACGTGCCTTCACTAAGTTTGGGTTTCACTCAAGCCCTTCACGCCACCACATGTTCAAGATCTTTGATTCCTCTGCATTTTATTTTTCTTTTCTAATAACCTGAATCCATGATATGGATTACTTAGCACTTGGGCCTAAAGTAAAATATTAGCCACTTATCAGTCCAGATTTCCATTCTTTAGCATGTTGTAGAGCCAAGTCTTCTGTGAAACACAATCTATCTACCCTTCTCTCCTCCACATGGGCCACCAATAAATAGACTGAGCTATTCCTGTTACTATAGTTAATTCTTATCTAGAAGGGTGGTCAAATTGAGGCTTAAGGGGGAGATTAAGCACCTGCTGCTCCTGACCATAGCCTTAATTTTACCATTAAGAACCATCAGATGCTTTCCAATGACCTGAGTGTTTCAAGTCTATTTTCTGTTGTTCTAAACCTAGTGCTACTTGCCATTTCCTAACCTTCTCCATAGACCAAACCCTGACTTTAACCCAGATATTCTACAGAACAAGATGAACAAGATATTTAAAATTTTCATGGTGGGGGTGGTAGACTTAGAGTAACCCACATGTAAGGCAGACAAGCCTTCATCCAGCTTTAGTCCTACCCCGAAAACACCCTATAGGTGCTGACCTAACTGAGCAAAAATAAACTATAGACTTCTATTGACAAGCAACTTCCACTTTGAGACAGAAGTGCACAAACAAGAGCTGAAAGGTAGGTCAGTTTCTACAGATGTCAACCTGGCCACTTTTCTGTTTAGACAACCAATGGTAAACTTGTGAATAGGTTGGTTGTAAAAGGCTGAGCTACACATTCATTAGTCCATGGAGTTATATGGGTGGGATCTAAAAGAACCTGTGAGGAATAGTTTATTTTAGCCACAGTCTGCTCCAACGGGATTAGGACTGCTTTCACTCCACCGGGATTAGGACTGCTTTCAGCAAAAGAGTAACTGAACCCGTTATCTGTGCACATGGCATGAGCTGCAGGACTTCCACGAGGGCAAGTTTCTTTAGTCTCTATCTTGGAACTTTTAGATCCAACCATATGACATTTATACAGTTTTGATTTGAATTGGCAAAACTGAGAAACTATGTTATAAATTATCTGTATTAAGATTAGGGTTGGTGTTTGTAGGGGCTAAATTGTAACACTGCATCTTGGTTCAGCTAAATATCTGTATATAAATGGAAAGCTGGAGTTAGGCTAAAAAAACCCCAAACCATAGGAGGTAGGTGCTACAGGAGGTTGTTCCCTTCTGAGCCTTGCACTCTTGGTCCTGAGGCACATTTGAAAATGTGAATGTGTGCCATTGATATGGAAAAAAAGAGTCTATCATGACAACTTTTGATGCTGTAGTTTGTTACCTATGTTATGAATGCTCATAGTACAGTTAACATGCTTCTTGCTTCAAATGTGGTTTGAATGCATTGCCATGGTCAGGAGGCTTACATGGCCACCACCTCTTTGAAAGAAACATGTTGGATTTTCAGAAAGCCCCCTGGTGCAGATCAAAGCGGTGCCACAGCTGGGGGCAGCCTGTTTGGCTCATTGGTGACAAGGAGCAATATGAAGGCCTGTGATGATTAAAAATGTTAAATTATTTCACTTTATAATTATCTGTGATACTTATTAATATGTTATGAAGAGGTTGGTGATGAGAGTGTATGAGGTTTTTGGGACTAGTTAACTGTCTTAAAAGCAACTAAAAATGCCCACATATGCCAGGAAAATGAACATAGCTATTGGCAGCAAAAGGCTAGTCTATATATTTTTTTTCTTCTCTGATATCATTCTTTCAGTCTTTCTGCTGTAATTATGTCAAAACTTCCTTTCATATGCCATGTCCACAGGTGGCATTGCATCACGTTCATTATTATCTTGACCTCTGGTTTCCACAGTAGCAATGCTCATCACCCCTTTGTGCAGCCTGATTTTGTGCTGTGAGGCTGGCTGGACTTGGGAGAAGAAGGTGGTCTGGGAAAGAATATCATAGTACTGGAGCTGTACATTCTTTGTTTTGAGAAGAATAGGTTATAATGTTTATATGTTTATTCATAGCATCTGCTAATTGCTACCATTTCAGTTTTGTGGGGTTTCTGGGTTTTGTTTTGGTTTTGTTTTAATTTGTTTGGTTTTGTTATTTACTGTGCAAATAGATCATTTGGTCAATTTGTAATGGGAGAGCAATTTGAACATCAATCTGTGGGATGGTTCATTCCTACAAACAACTACTCTGTAAAGATTTGGGGATTGCTTTACAAGTAGGGTGAAGCCTATTTGCAGCTATGTTTAAGTCTTCAGATTACAATGAATGGATAGCAATGGGATTTAATAATAGAATGACTAGTTTATTGTGGTTAAATGCAGTGCAAAGTGTAGCTGCATCAAATGACTTTTGAGATTGATGATTAAATAGCTCTTATTGCTGAATTGTTGTAGCACACTTATTATCTAGTGGATGACAATCTACTTATGAATTAATGAGGGGAGCAAAATGAACGCTATGTTTTAAATAGCCGTCAGCCTTACAGTTCTTTAATTTTATGACTTTATGTTGAAAATCATGCAGATAAGAATAATGTTAATACTGTTAAATGTATTGAGAAGAAAAACCTGATGAGGTTTTTTCTTTCTTCGTCTGAATTGGAGGACAATTTGTAGTGCCAGCAGAATTCTCTCATTCTTTCTTGCTTTGAAAAAATAAGAAGCATTTCCCCCAAGGACTCCATACACACACACACACCCCCATACTCCTGCTTTTCCTGCTTCTTTTTTTTTTTTTTCTTTTTTTTTTTTTTTCCAGAATAGTTTCTTGTGTGCATTTTGGAAATTGTAGAGCACAAATCACTCTGAAAAGTAAAATGCTATTTACACGATTGGGAATACAAGCATCATAACCTCACCCTAGGACAATGTCTAACTGCAAGAACAGAAGTGTTGAAAGTAGCAGATATTTTGATTTGTGTCATAAATATTAAATTATTCCTTATTTCTTTCACTATAGGTTCTTCAAAAACTAGGAAAAGCAGATGAAACTAAAGATGAACAGTTTGAAGAATACGTTCAAAATTTCAAACGGCAAGAGGTCAGTTATTTTTTCATTTTTTTAGTTGTGTCTTAAGAATACAATATATTTAACTTGCTGTTTTTGAAGGTGTTGCAGGGGAACAGGTAAGATTCTGTTTTTTCATGGGTACAAGATTTTGTTCTGCAATTTTCAAAACAGAGATAACAGTTGCATTTGTCCATGCAGAGCACTAAAATATGGGCTGAAAATAAAAGGACATTTGTTTTCATATGTAACATCACCATACTTAAACTGCTTGAGATCAGAGTGACAGTACATTTTCACCAGTAATTAAGAATAGAACCCAACCTGAACTAAATGCAGCTTTGTGGACGCCTTGTTACAAAGAAAGAGAAGTATTTACATGGTTTCATTTGGTGGATTGCTTTCATCAGTGCTGTATAAAATACTGGTTTAATAAGAGTGAGCAGATTAATAGTTTTGGACTGCACATGTGTTGTGAAGTTCCCCGTGGGTGCTGAGGTCTGTGGTGGCAGTGCTGATGGAGCATAACTAGGCAGCAATGCTCAATTACTCTTAGTGTTATAAACACAACATAGGAAACTAAAGGTGCTCCAAGAAGTTTATAATCTACTCCCAGTCCAGTCCTAAATTCTAGCCCCAATTACTTGTTGCTTCGTTAGATAGACTTTTTGGCTCTGAGGGGATGAATTGCAATTTATTATATAGTACATTTGTAGCACAAATTAATACCTACCATGAACTGTGGTAATACCACCAAGAAAATAGTCTTGTTACATAAGTATGAACTGACATATCTGTCGTCTTTGTGAGCTGTTATTTAGAGCTCCTATAGAAAGGAACTGGAGAGTGAGAGCTATTCCCACACATTTTACACAATCTAAAATTTGGCTCATGTCAGTGTTTGCAGTTTCTCCTCTGAATCAGTCCTATTCTACCAAATGCACTTTCCTCCTTTTCATGTAGACACAAAGCCTGTATCCTGACTGCTAGAATGCTTATTAACTCTTCTGCATCTTATTGTCACTTTGCCTTTATTTTCCTCTCAGTGTAGAAGAGAGGGAGGTTTCAAAAGCTATTGAGCTTTCCTCTTCGCCAAAGAGAGGAATACTGGGAAGTAAAAGAATCTGTTTCTCTGAGATGGGCAGTTCTTTCCTCAAATTTCTTGAGGTCAGGAAGATGGTGGGATTTAACAGAAGTTTTGAAACCCTACAAAGATGCTATATTTTCCCTTTTCTTCCCTTTCCACTTTTCCAAGTCTTCTTGACTTGACCTTTTGATTATTCGATGTTGTTGCTTATCCTTGTTGTCCGTATCCCAGCTGTTTGCACAGCTAAGTAAGTGTATTTCTACAAACACACTAGTAAGTGTGTTTGTAGAAATAAGGTACATCTCTGAGGGGTTTCTTCAGTGTAGAAGCAAATGGAGCATCTCCATGAAGAAACTGAATTTGTGGTACTTTTCTCTCTTAGTACAAAATTCTGAGACAAACAAGAGGGGAAAGAGGAAAAAAAAATCCTTTTAAGCAAAATGATATCTCAAGTATTGGGTTTTTTCTGTCCTTTACCAAGAATTTTCTGTAATGGTGATTTTAAGCTGAAAATCTTGCTTAGATCTAAGGAGGATATTAGCATTACTTTCTTTTTATTTCCTCATTCTTTGATGTACATAGAGGCAATAATAAACAGTAAAGTACTCTGCAGGAACTGCATGATGCTAAATCCTAAATGCAAATATGAGTTGGGACCAGAGAGGAAATTGGGTAGGGAGGGGTGACTGCAAAGGGAACTACTACAGTTGTCACAACAGTTGCATACAGATTAGGCTAGGTGCACTGACGCACCAAATGAGAGTGACTAGTCACACATGCACAGTAAGCATGTGTGACTGAACTAGTCACACATGCTTACTGTGCTTTCAAGAAGTTCTGTTGTGCTCAATTCTTCAAATACAACAGGGAAAATGCTGCAAAAGCACTGTTTCTGCCATGTTCACCAATAAGAAACATATAAATAGTTTAAATTTTCTAAGTTTTGTCCATGTTTTTTATCTACAATTTAATAGCAATGCAAAGGTATGAAGCATTACAATGTGCATCTGAATTGTCACTCATACTGATTAATGCCATGCAGAACTGCTGTCTTTTGTGAACTCAGGAAGCCATCTCTTCTTGGTTTGTATTCAGTCCTGCTTTGAAGTTCATTCTGCAACTCTAGAGGCTTTAGATAAAGTTAAATTCTAGATATTAAAATATAAAAAGGCAATCTGGTGGATGTATCTCTGTGCTGAAGCTCACCACGGTGTTGCTGTGGGCCATTCAGGAGGCTTGCAAGAACGACCAACCCTGTTAGAGGCTGTGCCATCTTTTTCAGTTTCCTCCGGGATTATTTGTCTCTGTGATGGTCACTGACCTAGCAAGCTCATGGCAGAGGAAATTTGAGAGGAGGTCCAAGCTTTACTTTGTTTCTTGCAATCTCATTTACCAATGATCTGTCTGTTCCCTGGCCACCTCACCTACTGTCAGTTCATTCTGAGGAGCACTATAACTTCAGTTCTATGTCTCTTTGCAAGTTCTTTGTTGCAGCTGGTGCTATGTGTGCCCTGAGGATCCTGGTAAGCTGAAAGCTGTGAAAATGGTCTATCTTGCTTGCCTGCATTACTGAGCATGCAACCCTTGAGAGATCAACTAACCTTAAGTATAGAATGATCTTTTTATTACTACTCTCCAAAGATAATAAATGAGGACTCCCAGTTCAGCCCAATGAAAGGATAAAGGAAAGAGCATAGTGCTCATTTTCCAAGAAACAGAAAATTGAAAACCTGAAATCATGCCTGAATAGCAGATTAGATGGTGGGCCTGTACCAAACTCAGAAGAAGGCTATGTGTAAGGATACATGCATGTCATGGTTTGATACTGGCCAAAGATCAGGCACCCACAAAAGCCACTCACTCACCCTCCCTTCCAACAGCTGGGCAGAGAGAAAAATTTAATGAAGGCTTCATGTGTTGAGATAAGGACCAAGAGAAAACACTCCAAGGGCAAAACAGGCTGAGCTTAAAGGTACAAAGTGAATTTATTACTATCAGACTCAGAGGAGAAAAATGAGAAGTAAAATAAGCCCTTAAAAACACCTTTTTCCCCCAACTCCTCCCTCCTTCCCACCGACAGCACAGGGAGACAGGGGGCTGAGGGTCTGGGTCAGTTTGTCACCTGAGGTTTTCCTCCACTACTCAGGGAGATGAGTCCTTCCCTTGCTACACCATGGGGTCACTTCTCAAGGGAGACAGTTCTCTGTGAAGTTCTCCAGCATGGCTCCAAATCTCATGAGCAGCAGTCCTGCCAAAACTACTGCAACTTGACTCCTTCCCATGGGCAGGCAGTCCTCCCAAAACTGCTGCAGTGTAGGTCACTCTACCACGGGGTGTGGTTCTCCAAGGACAGGCTGCTCCAGCCTGGAAGCCGGGGCCCCCTCTATCCACCGGGTCTTCCACTGGATCACAGCCTCCTCCAGGAGGAGGTGCTCACACCTGCTCCAGTGTGAGCACCTCCCCCATGGGGTGCCAGTGGATCTCTGCATCCCCCATGGACCCCCATGGGCTGCAGGGGCATGGCTGCTTCACCATGATCTTCACCACAGGCTGCAGACGAATCTTGGCTCTGGCACCTCAAGCATCTCCTGCCCCTCCTTCCCCACTGACCTTGGTGTCTCCATGTTGTTTCCCTCCCATGTTCTCACCTCCTCCTCCTCTGGCTAGGAAAAAACTGTGCATGCACACTTTTAAAACATTTTTTTCTTAAATATGTTATCACAGAGGCATTACCAACACCTCCAATTGGCCCAGCCTTGGCCAGCAGCATATCCGTCTTCAGAGCCATCAGGGATTGGCTCTGCTGGACATAGTGGAAGCTTCTACAGCTTCTCACAGAAGCCACCTCTGGCTGCCAAAAACCAGGCCATGCAAAACCAATGCAGTGCAGCAGATCTGTCTGGAGAAAATAGTCATTTAGATTCTCCAGTCATCCATTCCCATCTCTTTCTGAATACAACTGGATAAGAGCCTCTTCTGGACTTGACAACCCACAGTTTAATTACCCAGATGAATCACTGTGGAGAAACTGAGTCATCCCATGTCCAGAGAGAACAGAGCAAAGTTGCTTTGCAGAGCCCCAGGACTTTCTCTGTCAAAACCATTAAGCTCCTGCAGCTGATGATAACAGAAAAACATTTAGATTTTAAGCAATGAATACAGCTGGTTTTCATCTTCCACTTGAGCTGTAAACTGAAAATTCCCACTCTAAATCAAAGCTTGTGGAGCATATAAACTCATACATGACAGTATGACACAGATTTTCATTTTATTGTAAGAAATTTCTTGAGATTTAAACCTTTATCTCTGCACAGCTAATTGTAAATACGCTCAGCCTCTTAATCGACTCTGAAGTTCAGAATGAGGGGGAAAATAAGAGAATTTCTGCATAATTCTCTCATTTCTATTGTGAAATTATCATCAAAGGCCATTGAGGATTTACCAGAAATTCCATCTATTTTCAAGCAATTGCATCTTACATGTTCTGTTTTTTACAGGGAGTACAGTAGCAGTTACCTTTATTCCCATATATTTTAATGACTCACAGTCATTAAAAGTCACGCTTTATTGTTCTAAGAGAGCAATATTCTATTTCATTATATGCATATTTGCCTCTCTTTATTTTTCTACATGTAGTTATGAGACTTCTTTCACTTTACATACCACAGTTAAAATATATTTTAGTGCTTAAGCCCATAAATATTATGTACTGTATATATATAAACAGGAGATATAACAGTTGTTACTACAAAAGCAGCTTCCCATGGCATGTTGTCAGAAAAAAAAGCAAAACGTCAAAGGCTATTGTTGATAGTTTATAGATATAATTAGGTGAAAAAGAAGAGCCTTTTTTTTACTGTTGTTGAGTGATCAGAACCTGCTTCTGTGGACTGTTTTACTTAATGTGCACCTAGTAGTAAGAGCTGCTCATTGGGTGTAATTGTTA